ATGTAACCTTTAGATTGATTTGCATCCAAACATATCCCAAATCTTTAAATGAAAGCGCATAAAATAAAGATAATAACTGCATAATTTTTTTTTAAAATAGTTGTTTAATGAATGGTGTTACCTATAACAGCACCTGATGTATTTTGAGTACTTTAAACAACTGTGAATTTATTGTTGCACAATATAAATTAAATTTATCATGGTGATCATCAAATTGTGATATAAATAGAATTTCCACTATGCTGTTGTTGATCGATCAGCAAATTCTTGTTTCTTCATTTTAAAAATTAAATATGTCATTCACGACAAAGAAAAGACAACGCCAGGGAGATGCTGTGGAAACAAGAGGGTAAGTGTTGTTTATCGTGAGAATGGTGATGGTGGTTATCACCACCATTCGTCACCACTCTAGTTTGTCTATACATTTGGCAATTGTATTAACTTTGATTATTTTTTAGTGATTATACTGTGAAGCACTTGAGACGAGCACTGCTACAAGAAAATGTATCAAGATATAACCTTGATAGTAATGATGATGAGAGTGATGATAGCTAAAGACTAGTGCTGTAATCCAAAAAAGGAAAAAGTATGGTTGCAAAAGTGGTTGCAAAGGTAATTGCAACCACTTTTTATATGCCATAAATACAACTACTACCATCCTCATAATTTACAGCACTAGTCTTTAATGATAGCGAAGAAAAGATTAGCTCATCACCTAGGTTTAATGAAAAAAAAATTAAACAAAAATTTAAAAAGGTTCTTATTTTTTTTCTTGGCTATCTATTATATAAGAATAATAGAAGAATTTTATGGAATCCTTCTTATTCATTAATAAAATATTTAACATTTTTATATTAGATATGTCAAACCACCAAGATGCCAATTTTATCACGTGTAATTATTGATGACATAGATCACATCAAATTAACTGAAAATGATTTGGTATCTGATGGAATCCTCAAAATAAACCATATAAAGTTACACAATTACAAGTTATATAAAATAATTAAAAATAATGGATGTTTGAGTGGTTTTACATTTCTTAAATGGAGTGATATTATTGGTTTAACGAAACAAGAAAAAGATTTTGTTTGTAACTATGTTTTATATGGATCAATCACTATTCCAGATGGAGAACATTCATTCTATTGCACCTTAATAGCCTTTTTAACACAATTCCAAAAGGTTTGGGAGATGAAGTCATATCAGCAATGATCTGAGACCATCAATGAACGATCGTATTCACACCAAGTGGTAAAACCAATTATTGACTTCGTTTTTTACAATATTGAAGACATAGAGATGAGATATGGACATCTCTCAGAAGCGACCAGGAACAGAAATGGTGGAGAGGATGGGCCAAACAAATATCCTGATTTCTTATTATATAAAGAAAATGAGGCTCATAAATTCACTTATGAGTTCCTACACTTAGAAATCAGTAATGGTCCATATGTAGAAAATAGCACAAGTCATCAAATGCATGTAGCAAATGACAAAATCCAGCTTGGAAAATTTTTGAAAGACAATCTAAGTAATTATAACTAAGGTTTCTGGTCCAAACTGTTTTCTCATAGCCCAAACTAGTTTGGGTAATTTGGGCTTCTCAACATTTTCTATAAGCATGGGCATTAAAAAACTATATGAATCAACTTGTTTTAACTTGAACAACTTTAAAATAATTTCGCCCAATTTCGGCTAATAACAAAAAGTAGTTTGGGCTTATAAAAAAATAATTTTTGCCCAAAGTATTTGGGCAATTTCGGCTACTAATAGAAGCAGTTTCGACCAGAAACCTTAATTATAACTACTTCATTAGAAGCTTTGAGAACTCAAAGAAGTCACAAGACAATCTATACAAAATTTCAAACGTTATGATGCACTTTTATAATACAAAGCTGGACATTTATCTCATGGACTATGAGCTGTTGCCATTCTATAGAATGTGCCTAGTGAAGTCATTCAAACTTCCTTTACAATCCACCAAAAAACAGGAAGCAATCACAAGCCTGATAAAGCTATGCAATACTTTATTATCAATAAATAAAGTAATAAAGAAAAATATTATAATAATGGATAATATAGATAAGATTTTAGTAAACAAAACAAAAAGAGAGAATAGCATAAACCAAAATCAAAATTATATTTTAACTAATTTATTGCCAAGGAGAGATTAATATTATAAAATTTTATTACAGATAAGGTTTTAGTAAAAGAGAGAATAGCATAAACCAAAATCAAAAATTATATTTTATCACCTAGGAGAGATTAATATTATAAAATTTTATTACAAATATGCTTTCTATTTGTATTATCTATTAATGATATTTATACACGTAATTTTTTTATCTTGTTATTCTTTATTAATAAATAAATAAATATTGCAACATAATAATAAGTGTCTGATTGATCATTATAAGTGTGTATAATTCATCATATGCCGTTGTATTGTTTTTCCATTCCTTTGTTTGATCTCTTTTCCAGTTATCATTAAAAGTACTCCACAATGCTTGTTATTATTTATGAATTTACTAATGAATCTTTTTATTCATTATCATTATTGCTATCATTATCATTATTATCATATATTAATAATTCTTTATCAATTAAAAAATTTAAATTTAAAAAATATACATGGTGAGCAATTATAATTAGAATTAGAAAGTTTTTTTCCAAAAATCTGTTATTATTATATCAAGAAATTGTTATATTGAGAAGAATTTTATTATCATTATTAATATTAATATTAAACCATCCATTCTTGGACCTCAATCCATTAACTGTTAAATCATGATTTTTAATTAGTATCCATTAAATCAAGGTATGCTAAATCGAGATTTGCTATAATATAAATTTAATAAAAAATTTAGGAATTCGGTTTGATTCAAATTGATTCGAATTGATTCATTCAGAGCCTTAGATGGATGGACTGGGACATTGAAAAAAGTTCATTGCAAGCAATTTCCACTGGGATGAGCTTGACTGTATTGGGAAAATACTAATACTAAATATAATAATAAAGTACAGAGTTTTGGAATTAGTAAATGGGGATGAACAAGAATGTAGTTATTGCTTTATAGATTATAGTGACCAAACTAACCTTGATTTTAGCACTGCTCCTGCTGCCTATCATATCCTTTATCTGTAAAGATTGTAAATTGGAATATGATAACAATGTTCTCCCAAGATGTGAGAAATGTGATAGGTTAATGAGAAATAAGAGTCTATGTTATTGTCATAAAGAAAAAAAGAAGCAAACCCAATCTCTTACTAACAGG